CTATCAGGCAGGGCTTCTCAAGGCTTCCAACTTCGGGGCTACACATAGGAAGAGAGTCTTCGATGAGCGCTGAAAATGGCCTGGGAGCCTGTAGAACAAACCAGCAGTCAGAAGAAGACACAGATGCTATTCCTAAAGCTACCCTGCAATCCACGGTCTCCAGGCCTGGCCAGGCCACATGTGAGCACATGCTCTGTCCTGCAACATGGTGCCCTTCTCTCCTCATAGGATCATTCTGTAGCCTGTTACATTCATGGTCTATAGACTCGAGCTCAAGCTACACGATCAAGGCTCTACCCACGGGAGGCTGGCATCTGAGGTATACACAGGTCTAAGGCTTGGACCACTTGAAGACTTCCCCATAATGAGATGCCAGGTAAAGTGCCCATCTCAGGGCTCACTCTCCCCATTAGAAAAGGATATGGATTTTTTTTTTTTTAATTAAAAATCCTAGTTTTGTCTAGAATGCTGGTCTGTAAGGCCAAAGAGTGAATTGAATAAACCTGCAGCAGAATGCCAGGGAAGCAAGCAGCTTTGGGAAAGGGTTCATAAGGGCGAAGGAAGGAAGGGCGAGGTGCACCCTCTTCCCAGCCCCGGCATCGACAATTCCAATCACCACCAAACTCTCAGAGAGGTTCAAATCATCTGCCGGGATCCTGCCCCAGCGCAGCCTAGACTTCTCTAATTCCATTTATTTTTGGAAGCAAAAGGAAAAGGAACATCTTACCTTGCATAAATGGCTAGGAAAACCTTTCAGCTGCTTAATTACGGAGCCACCTATCAGGTAGCATTTTCCTCCAAGAGCTCCAGGCTGAAAGAAGAAAACCCGACGAGGAGGCCCTGGTGTGATGCGGACTTCTAGCCTCCTCACCGAGCAGTGCTCAGAAGGTGTGAGGGGGCTCTGGGTAACCCCACCTGCTACGGTACAGGTCAGAGTTTCGCTTTCCTTCCAACACTGTTTTAGGGATACAACCAACATTCGAAGGCAGCAAGCTTTCCTCAGACTTGTCCTGGAAAAGGGCTAGCGTTCGGATGATGTTTGTGACTTAGGGCGCGTGAGAATGTTCTCTTTGCTCTTTTTTGAAAGTTTCTCCAGTGTTATCAGCTCAGGAGACTGTATAGAATACAATCAAATAAAACTAGCAATAAACTGCCTAAGGAATAAGGACAAATATACTTCTCTCTTTTTTTTAGATTTAGAGACAGTCTAGCTCTGTTGCCCAGGCTGGAATACAGTGGTGTGGTATCAGCTCACCGCAACCTCCGCCTCCTGGGTTCAAGCAATTCTCCTGCCTCAGCTTCCCAAGTAGCTGGGATTACAGGCACGCGCCACCACGCCTGGCTAATTTTTATATTTTTAGTAGCGACAGGGTTTCACCATGTTGGCCAGGCTGGTCTGGAACTCCTGACCTCGTGATCCACCTGCCTCAGCCTTCCAAAGGGCTGGGATTATAGGTGTGAGCCACCGTGCCTGGCATATTTCATTTTTAAACATGGGAAAGGGGTTGAAAATAAAAGATGAGCAAGGAATGGGGATTATGCAAAATGCATATTGACTTTTTCTTCAGAACTTGGGACCAGCCTCACCTCTTTCTGGAAGCTTCCTTGCATTTCCTCTGGTTCTGGGTGCTTCTTTTGTCTCCCTTTCAGGGTATTTTGCACAATGAACTAGCCCTGACCTTGCATCCCATCAGCCTGAGGGCTCCTGAGGCTCTGCCGTGGCCCCTGTGTCTCTTTCAGGCCTGGCAAGCACAGGAATCTGGAGAATCTCGTGCAGCTCAGTGGGGGTGCTATGGGATGGGGTGAATGGTTCTGGCAGGAAAGGAACAGGATGCTCTCCTGGCACCCGCTGGAGAGCCACCGGCCTCACACCTGCATGGTCATTCAAGAACCTATGCATTGTTGCAGTTCAGCATCAGTGACTGTTCCGCCCACTGCAAGATGACTTTTCTGAGATGATCTCCTGTGAGGAGGAAATGGAAAGCTCACCTGAGCCCCTGGCACACGGGGTGATGGGGAGCCTCTTGGGTACAGGCCATCCAGCAGTGTGGTCAGACTCCAGTCCCACCAGTCACTGATGTTTCTCAGGCCACCCAAGGAGTTTCTGGCATTTCTGAATGCAAGAACAAAAATAAAAGTTGCTTCTATATCAACAAAAACAATTGTGAGAACAAAAGCATGTTTTCCTGCCATTTTTTCTCTCATTCAGATTTCAGGTACTCCACAGGAGTTAAACTAAAGCTGTCTGCAGCGTGAAGCATGAAACCCCAGAACTCACTTTGTTCCTTAGTAGCAGGAGATAAGAGAGAATGGTGGGTGAAGCACTTGTTCATTTGCTCACTCAGTCAGTCACTCAACAAATGTTACTATGCAACTACCAGGTGTCAGGCACTCTTCTAGGCACTGGGAAACAGAAAATCAATTCCCTGCTCTCCTGTGGGCAAACAGGCAACAAATAAGATAAATAAGCAAACATATACTATGTTAGTGACAAATATGAAGGAGGAAAAAAAGCAGGAAAGACAGCCAAGTGGTGGGGTGAGCAGGTGGAGTAAATTTTAGTTCAAGCAGCCATGGAAGGCTTCAGTAGGTGGTGATGTCAAGTAAAGACCTGAAGGTGAGGGTGGAGCCCATGGTCATCTGAGGGAGGGTGTTCTGGGCACACGGAATGGCGAGGGCTTCCACAAGTCAAAGGGTGGAAAGGTGTGGGGGCCACAGGGCTAGTGCAGAGGGAGCACCAGAGCCCGGGTAGACAAGAGAGGCGCTGGGACACCCAGACCAACACCCAGTCCTCTCTGCACTGACTGCTAACTGGGTGCAGCCTGTGACTGGCCTCCCAAGATGCTGTGAGTGGCAGATGTGAAGGCGTAGATGAAATGCAGTGTTGGGACAAACACTAGTCTGTTTTCTTTCCAATTAACTTTTTTTTTTTTTTTTTTTTTTTTTTTTTTTTTTTTTTAAGAAGGAGTCTCACTTTGTTGCCAGGCTGGAGTGCGGTGGTACTATCTCGGCTCACTGCTAACTCCGCCTTCTGGGTGCAAGACATTCTTCTGCCTCAGCCTCCCAAGTAGCTGGGATTACAGGCATCCACCACCACGCCCAGCTGATTTTTGTATTTTTAGTAGAGACAGGGTTTCTCTATGTTGGCCAGGATGGTCTCAATCTCTTGACCTCATGATCTACCCGCCTCAGCCTCCCAAAGTGCTGGGATTACAGGCGTGAGCCACTGTGCCCAGCTTTAATTAACTTCTTTAGTATGCTTATTAGCTATACTTCATTTTTCCACCAAGGAACTAACTTAAGGAAGCATTGGAATAATGTCAAATGAACACAATTTATCATTTTTAGTTTGCTCAGACACCGTCATAAAGCCACATGCTCAGGCGAAGGCTGTGCATGGCAGCGGCAGGGTGTACACGTGGCTCTGAGCTACAGCCAGAGGCAAAAGGATCAACGCAAGTGTTCCTAAGAGAAAGCAAAGGACCTCTCACTTAACTCTAAGAGACTTTCTCATACATGGCTTCCCCTGAAGAGCCACTGAAGAATGGCAAGGATGGGCTCATCCACATGCCCTCAGCAAACAGAAATGGTTCTGATGGGGCTGTTTCATCCAGGTTTCTCTCCACAAAATGGGGAGACCAAAACAGGTCTCAGGAAAAGGAACTTTGTTATAAGGTGAGAAGAAGTTAGAAAGTCGCCCAAGTATGCACAACTGAATGCCTGTTTCGGCACCAGCTCCAGGCTACTTGAAAGAATGAACACACAGGAAGTCATTCAGATGATGGGTATGGCTTTGGTAAATAAGGCCTGAGAGCAAAGTTGGGCTGTAGACAGCAGGCCTGGAGCTGGCTCTCACTGTGAGAGCCAAGTTTATACAACTCCTTCCAACTCCATGTTCAGTGATGTCACATTGGTGGTGTGAAAGACCATGGTGGGTCCTGGCAGGGTGGCTCATGCCTGTAATCCCAGCACTTTGGGAGGCTGAGGCAGACAGATCACCTGAGGTCAGGAGTTCAAGACCAGCCTAGCCAAAATGATGAGACCGGTCTCTACTAAAAATACAAAAAATTAGCTGGGCGTTGTGGTGCACCCCTGTAACCTGAGCTACTCAAGAGGCTGAGGCAGGAGAATCGCTTGAACCTGGGAGGTGGAGGTTGCGGTGAGCCAAGATCACACCACTGCACTCCAGCCTAGGTGACAGAGTGAGACTTCGTTGTAACAAAAAGACCATGGTGGGAGCATTTACACCACAGAAATTGGCAGGCAGATGCTGTAAGTCAGTGCTTTTGTTCTCCAGTTGTTAACTGTTTCCAGCACATCACGAAGACTGTGTTCACAGGTAAGGTCTGAAACTGATACTCCACTGTTGAATCAGCAGATTTTGCAGATAATTTAGAAAAAGTTTTTGAAAACCTGATAGTCATGACAATAATTGGACAATATTAAAAAAAATCAAGGACAAATAAATGTCACTAGTATATAGAGTAATAAAGAGATGCAGTAGCCTCAACCTGCAATTTATATGTACTATAAGTGTGTTCAAAAATTTCCATATGGCTGGGCATGGTGGCTCACACCTATAATCCTAGCTCTTTGGGAGTGTGGGGTGGGTAGATCACTCAAGGCCAGGAATCAAGACCAGCCTGGTCAACATGGCTAAACCCCTGTCTCTACTAAAAACACAAAAATTAGCCTGTCATGGTGGTGCATGCCTGTAGTCCTAGCTACCTGGGAGGCTGAGGCAGGAGAATTGCTTGAATCCGGGAGGTGGAGTTGCAGTGAGCCAAGATTGCGTCACTGCACTCCAGCCTGGGCAACAGAGCCAGACCCTGTTTAAAAAAAAAAAAAAAAAAAATCCCACAGCATGTATGAGTAAAAGTCTAATGAATTAATTTATCTGACTGGTTTTATTTCCTTTTTCTTAAAAAGAAGTGATCTCTTATTCTTTCGAGTATTTGATCGTCATTCGTTTATACATCTTTAGAGCTTAATCTTTTCAGGTCTTTTATTGGGTGCTGGTTCTTATCTCTGTCAAACTATCAAATGCAGAGTGAGTTTTGTCAAACTATCAAATGCAGAGTGAGTTGGAGACCTGCCAGAGCACCCAGAGGGTGGAATGAACAACAGAGAGGGAACAGAAAAGGAGAACACAGATGGAGACAGAGATGGGAAGCACAGGGTAAGCAAAGCAGATACATCTCTGCAAATATTCACGCCAAAGGAAAGGACGAATGAGCCAGGGGGCACAGGGATGCAGTGAAAGGGCTGGAGGGTAGAAAAGAGGCAAAGGATGGCTGGCGGTGAACTTTCAACAAAATAAAGTGTTGAGCGTTTGCTGTGGGAAGCAAGGTGATTTGACAGACAAATACTGTACATTTATAGCAACTAGTATGCTCCATATTCTGTGTTTTTAAAGAATAAAGTAGCCGGGCGCGGTGGCTCAAGCTTGTAATCCCAGCACTTTGAGAGGCCGCGGCGGGTGGATCACGAGGTCGCGAGATCGAGACCATCCTGGTCAACATGGTGAAACCCCGTCTCTACTAAAAATACTAAAAATTAGCTGGGCATGGTGGCGCGTGCCTATAATCCCAGCTACTCAGGAGGCTGAGGCAGGAGAATTGCCTGAACCCAGGAGGCGGAGGTTGCAGTGAGCCGAGATCGCGCCATTGCACTCCAGCCTGGGTAACAAGAGCGAAACTCCGTCTCAAAAAAAAAAAAAAAAAAAAAAAAAAAAGAATAAAGTAGTATAGACATTATAGCCATGCTGAGTTTGCACCACTTTCGGGGAAATGGTATCACTTCTTGACACTTGCTTCCCCATTGGGATAGCATTAGAGAAACGAAGTAAAAAAGGCCCTGAAAATAACCCAAAGCCAAAAGTCCCAGTGGCCACACTGCAGACATCTCATGCCTCATTCCCGGCACACCCGAAGTGCAGGTAGTGAATTAAATGAGCCAGGAGTATTCTGGCCCTGTCTGTATTAATGACTGCAATTATATAAAACAAGCCCACAATGCTGGCTAAACAATGCAAAAGATAAAATCAGTTATTATTTTGCATTTATGGCACTTAGAACACTTGCTTCATTGATTTGTCCTTTATTTGCTGGTTTTTGTTTTATATTTATTTTATTTGGAATTTCATGAAGTCTTTCTTGAGTTCAGAAACACTTCAAAGGCAATTTAAATATGGCAAAATCCAAGAACACAATGACTTCTTAAGATATAAGGTGTCTTAAGCCCAGTTCCTTCCCTTTACAGATGAAGATACTAAGGCCCAGAGTGCAAGCGTTTGCCAGAGTCACCTGGCAACCAAAAGTGAGCTGGGGGCCCAGTCTCTGAACTCCGTTTCATCTATTTCCCCTCCTGGGCTTAGCTTCTCTATCTGGAATGCTAGTAAATGCCAAACCCTCAGTTGTTGGTGATGTTTCAGGATTAGGTATGCGGGGATGGGGGTGAGATGGAGAGGCTCCACTTTAAACATTCCATTACCAACTGGGACACATAAATATCCTTGCCTGGTGGCCAGAGTACCCAGAGGCAGTGAGGTTTTGTATCCCTGTGGGAAACATAAGGTCTATGCAAATCCACAGGAATTGTGAATGTGTGCACACCAGTCTCGTGTGCACCTGAGATAGCTCACAAATATGATCTCAGCTGCGATATTTCTGATTTGAGTATCAAGAAGCAACAATTCATATGAGAAATATGTCAGATAATGTTGACCTGTGAAATGTGAGATAAAAAATAAACTAATAAAAGCCAGAGGTTGTTCATATTTAGATTTCCATTTTCAGAGATGACCAAAATTATCACTTTGTTTTGCACACAGCACCACCTACTGGCAAAGACTGTGCACTTGCACAGACGAGAGAGCTGAAAAGTTGGTCATGGATGGAAATAACCGCTGGTTTCACAAATGAGGAGGTAGAAAATTCCACTTAATTTCACCATTAGAATGCTCGGCAGAAAAAAAAAAAAACTTGGATTACTGAGCTACAGAACAACCCAGACTCACTGCACTGGGATTCCCAGGCCTTTCCTTACGAGTAGATCACAATGCTAACAAAGGGGACAATATCCATCAGCCAGGATCTCGTTGGGTATGAATAACCCTCTCTCTTATAAAAAAAATAAATATGTTCTGAAATAGCTGATAAAATTAAACGAACTTTCCAACCACTCACTTTTGCCAAAAGATTTAACAAAAAAGTATTTGCATCAAATTGAATTAGTCAAAGGCAACACACTCAGAGATGCTGTATAATTGTGTCTTTAAACAGTCACCAGAGTAAAATAAGGTAACTCCTGAAGAACACTGAATTATTTTATATATTTATTTATTTATTTAGAGACGGGGTTTCACTCTTGTTGACCAGGCTGGAGGGCAATGGCACAATCTCAGCTCACTACAATGTCTGCCTCCTGGGTTCAAGTGATTCTCCTGCTTCAGCCTCCTGAGTAGCTGGGATTACAGGCATGTGCCACAATGCCCGGCCAGTTTTGTGTTTTTGCCAGAGGTGGGTTTCTCCATGTTGGTCAGGCTAGTCTGGAACGCCTGACCTTGGGTAATCCACCCGCTTCGGCCTCCCAAAGTGCTGGGATTACAGGCGTGAGCAACCGCGCCCAGCTGAATTGTCGTACTTATCAGCATGGAAATCAGAATGAAGAATGGATATTATTTCATATCATGCACTCAAGAATTCAAAGCCACACTGCCTTGAAAGGACTATTAGACTGACTGTTTATGGCAGGTAAAAATAAAGCCTAACCATGGAGTCAAGAAGAACTCTCAATAAAAAAGGAAGACTAGTTTAAACGTACCTATTGATGACAGTATGCATCCCAATTTTAGCAGCACTGAAATGTAGAAAAGAAATATGACACAGGCCGGGCGCGGTGGCTCACGCCCATAATCCCAGCACTTTGGGAGGCTGAGGCGGGTGGATCATGAGGTCAGGAGATTGAGACCATCCTGGCCAACATGGTGAAACCCCGTCTCTACTAAAATACAAAAAAAAATTGCTGGGCCTGGTAGCATGGCCTATAGTCTCAGCTACTCGGGAAGCTGAGGCAGGAGAATCACTTGAACCTAGGAGGTGGAGCTTGCAGTGAGCCGAGGTTGTGCCACTGCACTCCATCCTGGCCACAGAGGAAGACTCTGTCTCAAAAAAAAAGGAAGGAAGAAATATGCCACGACAAAATGCTATCATGCTTGCCTCTCCCTGGTGGCATCATGGAAATTTGTCTGCTTTACACTTTCATTTCTGTGGGATTTACCTAGGATGAACATCTACTACTTACAGAAAGAAGGAGGAAGAAGCAAACGAGCACTTGAGAAGTGATGGAGAACTTGAGTGGCGTTAGAACCTGTTTGAAGGCCGAGCGCAGTGGCACACACCTGTAATCCCATTACTTTGGGAGGCTGAGACAGGTGGATCAGTTGAGGTCAGCAGTTCAAGACCAGTCTGATCAACATGGTAAAACCTCTCTACTAAAAACGGTAAAACATCTCTACTAAAAATACAAAAAAATTAGCTAAACGTGGTGGCACATGCCTGTAATCTCAGTTACTTGGGAGGCTGAGGCAGGAGCATCGCTTGAACGCTGGAGGCGGAGATTGCAGTGAGCTGAGATCGCCACATTGCACACCAGCCTGGGTAATAAGAGAGCAAAACTTCGTCTCAAAAAAGGAAAAAAAAACTGTTTGAAATTGAGTGTCAGTTATTATAAATTGCAACCATAGACTTTGAAAGAGCTCTGATGTCTCCAGCAAAAAAGAAACTGCAAGACCCTATTTTGGCACAGAATTTAAACTTCTTTGAAATATCCTTGTTTCACTATTTACCCCAAATGAGATGCTAGGAACATGTTCAAAGTCTGCGAATGAAGGGGGTGTTACTAATACTGGGGAAATGTGACAACCTTTCCAGTGTTTCATATGTGGGATGTAGAACATGGGGAAGGTGCACACAGGCCCTGGACTAGTGCAATGGCCCCAGATCGAGAGGAGTTACCGAACCTCCTACCTTGTAAATTCTTTCCGGATAGCTTGATTGAGGGAGTATTCATCTTTGGAAAATCTGGCATATATCATACACAAAAGCAGAAGAAGCATGAGGATGTCCATTGAAATGTTTCTGTAAGAAGTTTTTAAGTTAGCATCCATACAAACCTGGTATGTAGGTACCTGAGTGTTTCAATCTGCAATATATATATACATATATACATAAAATTTTTTTTCTTCTGAGATGGAGTCTCCCTCTGTCACCCAGGCTGCAGGCTGGAGTGCAGTGGTGCAATCTTGGTTCACTGCAACCCCCACCTCCCGGGTGCAACTGATTCTCCTGCCTCAGCCTCCTGAGTAGCTGGGACTACAGGCATGTGCACACACCTGGCTATTAGAGATGGGGTTTTACCATGTTGGCCAGGCTGTTCTTGAACTCCTGACCTCAGGTGATCCATCTGCCTCAGGCTCCCAAAGTGCTGGGATTACAGGCATGAGCTATCGCACCCATCCAAAGGATTTTAAATGAAACTTGGCTTTTAAATCCCTGGAAGGAAATTTTTGTGTAAGATATTAGGTGTGTGAGGGGTTTATTATTTATTTATTTATTTTGCATATCAATATCCAGTTTTCCCAGCACCTTTTATTTTTTATTTTTTATTTAAATTGAGACAAAGTCTAGCTCTGTCGCCCAGGCTGGAATGCAGTGGTGTGATCTCAGCTCATTGCAACCTCCCCCTCCCAAGTTCAAGTGATTCCCCTGCCTCAGCCTCCTAAATAGATGGGATTACAGGTACCCACCACCACATCTGGCAGTTTTTTGTATTTTTAGTAGACATGGGGTTTCACCATGTTGACCAGGCTGGTCTCGAACTCCTGATATCAGGTGATCCAACTGCCCTGGTCTCCCAAAGAGCTGGTATCACAGGTGTGAGCTGCCGTGCCCAGCCCCCAGCACCATTTGTAAAAGACTATCCTTTTTCCATTGGATCATCTTTGCACCTCTGCCAAAATATCAGTTGAGCATATTTAAGGAAGTCTATTTCTGGGTTCTCTATTCTGTTCCATTGATGTACATGTCTGTCCCCAAACATTATGCTGCCTTGGTTTCTGCAGCTGTAGAGTATGTCTTAAAGTCAGGTAGTGTCCGTCCTCTGACTTTGCTCTTTGTTTTAAGAATTGTTTAGGCTATTCTAGTTCTGTTGCTTTCCATATGCATCTTAGAATCAGTTTGTCAGTATCTGTAAAAAAGCCTGTGGTATTTTGGGTGGGACTGCATCAAAACTACATATTAAGTCAGAAAGAGTCGACACCTGAACATTATTGAGTCCTCCAATCAACGCACGCAGTCTATCTCTCCATTTATTCAGATCTTCTTGACTTCCTTCATCAGTGTTTTGTGGTTTTCAACATACAGATCCTGCACATGTTTTCTTAGATTTACGTCCACGTATTTCATTTATTTGGTGCTGTTGTAAATGATATCCCTTTTAAAATTTCAACTGTTTCTTGCTGGTATGTAGGAATATAATTTACTTTTTTAATATTGACTTGTGTCTTGCAAACTTGCTAAATTCACTTATTAGTTCGAGAAACCTTTCTTTGTAAATTATCTGGGATTTTCTGCTTAGACGATTTATGTCATTTGCCAATAGATGGTTTTATTTTTTCCTTTAAAATCAGTATGTTTTTAATTTCTTTTTCTTTTTTTTTTTTTTTTTTTTTTTGCCTGTTGCATTGGCTAGGACTTCCAATGTGATGTTCAATAGGTATGGTAAGAGAGGACATTTTTGCCTTGTTCCTTATCTTAAAAAACATTCGGCCAGGCACAGTGGCTCACGCCTATAATCCCAGCACTTTGGGAGGCCGAGGTGGGTGGATCACGAGGTCAAGAGATCAAGACCATCTTGGTCAACAAGGTGAAACCCTGTCTCTACTAAAAATACAAAAATTAGCCGGGCATGGTGGTGCACACCTGCAGTCCCAGCTACTCAGGAGGCTGAGGCAGGAGAATTGCCTGAACCCAGGAGGCGGAGGTTGCGGTGAGCCGAGATCGTGCCATTGCACTCCAGCCTGGGTAACAGAGCGAAACTCTGTCTCAAAAAATAAATAAATAAATAAATAAATTCAATGTCTCTCTATTAAGTATGATGTTAGGTATTGAGTTTTCATAGATACCCTTTATTGTTCAGGGAAACTTTTCTATTCCTAGTTTGCCAAGGGGTTCTTTTTTTTTTTTTTTTTTTTTTTTTTTTTTTTTTTTTTTTTTTTGATGAATTAATGCTGAATTTTATCAAATGCTTTTTCTGACTCTATTGAGATCATCATATGGTTTGTCTTATTTAGTCTGTTAATATGGTGAATTACATTAATTACTTTCCTCCTCATGTCTCGTCCAATCTATAGGTATCATCTCTGTTTTTGCTTCTTTGCAATCCATTTGTTGAGCAAGTGGTTCTTTGTACTATAGAGTTCTCAGAGTCTTGCTTTTCCATGGTGGTATCTAACATACTCTTACTGTAAATTACAAGTTGGCAAAATCACCTCATCAGATTAAGATTGGACTGCTTTGGGTAGTTTGCCTCTTGGATGACGGTATTCACTTTTCCAGTCCATCTTTTGTTTTCAAGACTTGCTGGTTCTTTAGGCCGGGTGTGGTGGCTCATGCCTGTAATCTCAGCACTTTGGGAGATTGAGGCGGGTGGATCACTTGAGGTCAGCCTGACCTACATGGTGAAACGCTGTCTCTACTAAAAATACAAAAAAATTAGCCAGGCATGGTGGCACACATCTGTAATCCCAGCTACTTGGGAGGCTGAGGCAGGAGAATCACTGGAACCTGGGAGGCAGAGGTTGCAGGGAGCTGAGATTGAGCCACTGCACTCCAGCCTGGGCAACAAGAGCAAAACTCCATCTCAAAAACAAAAAAAAGGAATATTAAAACTTTGTTACAAATGTTTTTTCCTAGTTTGTCAGTCACTTTATTTTATAAATAGTGTCTTTTGACATAGGAGTTTTTTTTTCTCTTCTTCAAGTTTTATATAATCCAATTTATTTTTATTTTCCCTTTTTGTGTCTAGATTTTAAGTCATAGGGAAGTTTTCCTCAGTGAAATCTTAGAGAAACTTAAGATTATGT